TCAAGTTTTATCATTTGCCTTGTTTATCTCAAAGACGGGAGAGGCTCTCTTAGCTGAGGTCTACTTAAACCGAGCCCCTGATTTCCCCAGCCCCACACTCTCCATCCCTTGCTAGAGCATACACCATTGCCCTCAGCATGCAAAAGCTCAGTTAGTTGGCTACTCTAGTTCACCAGCCTATGTCTGTTCTTACCAGCTAAGCTGTGTATTTACCAAGAGGTCATCTGTATTTGTTCCTAAACTTGTTTATGTCAGTTGAACTCATTATTGCATTTACGTAATTTAATTACATATTATGTAAATTAACGAAATATCTGTGCATTAAGGAAAGAGGTGTTGTTTCTATAAGCTGAATATTCTGGAAAGACTTGATGAAGATGAATAAAAGAATTGCTGTCAGATTAGGGGTGGACCAGACAACTATAAAAGACGAGGGGCATTTGTGTGGGGGGAAGGTACAGGTCTGGAAAGATTTATGGTACTTACTCTGTAAGCATCTACGCTCTGCCAATAGAGGATGTAGTATGGACATGATTTATGCAAGTAAAATGATGCAGAATGCCACTCCACAAATCTATTAATAACTAAAACAAGAAAACCATGAAACGGTACCTGCCCTTCCTCCATGTAAGACATTCTGAAATTTTCTATTCTAAGCTACTCAATTTCATATTTTAAAAATGTTGGTTGTAACCCATTAAAGTGATTTTGAAACTCACAGTTAGAAAAGACACTAACTTAATCCCACTCTTTCATCTAATTGATGGGAGAGATGAGGTTCAGGAAGATTTAACAACTCTGTTAAAGTCTCTCTAGTCAGAGTCAGAGTTATGACTCTTGATTCCGTATCCTGTGTTCTCTCTACTACCTCGAGCACTGAGCAGCCTTTGCTCGAAAAGCAACTGACCCAGCACAAGTTTCTCTGCAAAAAGTAGAGTGTGAAATGAGCAAGTGGATGACAAGGATAAATTCTGAAGGGGAAAGGCAGAGTCTCTCATTCTGTCCTAATGCTTTTCTGAGCAGTCGCGAAAGCAAGCACACACAGGTGTAGGTGGTTTTATCCCCAAATGAAGGCACACCAAGTCTCTCCTGTTATAGACACATATCTGGAGCAGGTGAAGCACGTACCTGGGTAGAACACGTGAGCTTTCTAATTTTAGAATGACTTCAGCTCCACGTGGGAAAACTCTAGACAATGGAATGGGGAAGCAGCTTGCAGTTCTGAAAAGCTTTTGTTAAGTGACAGAGGAATACCAGATCCTGTACTTGCTGGGCGACCCACGTCCTACCTGTTTTCCAAACAAGTAAAGGCTTCAAAGACTCTTCACCATAATCTGCTTTGTGCACCCCCAGCCCAAACTCACTGCCAGGGACCCCATCAAATCTGACCATCTTCTCCCCACGTGAGATGATAATGGTGACATTCCCCATGAATAATCCCACTGTAAAAATTTCCATGTTCTTTCATCATCACCTCTGAAAAGTCTCCCAGACACTAAATTAAGCAAGCCTTCAAAACATGCCCTGATTCTAGGTAAGTGCCATTAGACCCAGGCAAGAGGAGGAGCTGAACTTTGGCAGTTTAAAGATACCCTGAGTACCCAGATCAAGCAAGGCAGATAGCAGAGGGCAGCCTGCAGCCTGGCTCCTGGGCGTCGGAGCAAGGCCCTGACCACGCCCCCTCAGTCATTAGCGTGAGTCTCATGAAAATATGAGAACCAGATGGGCAGGCTGGGAACTTTGCAACATTTCTGAGGATTAAGCAAGCAGCCACCCAACAACTTCTTAACCTGGGTGTACTCTGTCCCTTTTAAGGGGCATTAAAAAGTGCCTTTTGAAGATAGGTCGTAACTCCTCCCTTGGGAGGGTGTGACATGTTCTAAAGCCATAGGTGCCGCCACCCTCACCCTGCCTCCAGCTAATGTTTTCCTGTGTTCTCTACAAATTGACACCAACTAGATTAAAAATGCTGCCTTAACCCCTAGATTATTGATTTCACTCCCACAGCAATTCCTTTCTAAACTGCACACTGACTAGGCAGTCAGCCGAGGTTGCCCCTATCGTCCGGAGCTCTTGCTGTGGGTCTCATGTTGTCTTCTCGCCTGGTGGGGGCTCCTTGAGGGCAAGGCAGAGAAGGCCTGCTCCTGTGTATGGTTACAGCAACTAGAATGCTCAAACCTGCTGTGAAATAACATCTAGGTGCAGGAGAAGCAAATATATGGCAGTCACACTACCACGGCCCTACCCTGGGCACACAGTGGGCATCACCAGTTGGTCACCTCAGTACTTCCTAAAAGCCTGAAGGCTTATGTCCTCAGCACAGCTCTCTAACTTATCTCTGCCAATCTCTCAGAGAGGTCACGTGAAAACTCTTACAGGCCATTCTTGATTCAAGTCCAATGGATGAGGAAACGCATCCAAACAAGAACCAGATGAACAACTTGCCCAGGGACTTGAAAAAACTGAGGCCAAGTGGGCCCAATGCCCAGGATGCCTGACCTCCAGCCTAAGACCCTCCACTGTCCCATTCAAAGGAGATGTCTGAGAGGCACTTACTGTCGACAAGGCCAGTTTCCTATGACCTTGGCATTACCTGTCCTCCATACTTGGGGATCTAAGAGAAAGAAAGAAACCCCAACAAGAAGGAACTTGGAACTTTTTCTGAAATGCACAGAAAAGCCACATGGGATCATTGCCACCATGGTCTTTCAAGACCACATGCCTCCCCTGATTGGCACACAGACTTGGCAATTTTCTCTCCACATTATTCCATTAAAATGCCAGGGCTTTACCTGTGCATTCCTGCAGCCCACTGCTCCAGGGCTCTCATTCAGAAATGTACCAAAACTTCTCTTATATCTATTATACCTTTCTCATTCTGTCTAACTCCTAGAATGAAAAGACTTGCATATTTATGTCATGGGTAAAGCCCTTATAGTTTTTTTTCCCCTAAAATTACCCATCCACCCATTTGTCTACATAAATGGTGTGGATGGTTTCAACATAGTTCTGGATGGTTTGGTTCTGGGATTTAGGGAATGAGCACAGCCAGAGCTTAAGGAGTAAGGGGCACTGAGATCTGAAAGTCACTCAGCACATAAATGAATATGTTTTATGAAAACCATTCACCTGAAAAGAAATAAGGAGAAAGCAAAATATAAAAACATTAAAATGAGAGCAGATGAAAATGAAATACCACACAATTAAGTGCAGCAGTATCTACTGTCAATATCTGAAGATCTAACACAAATGAATTACTGTTGCCTTTGTTGGTGTAGTAATAGAATTGTAGTTATGTTTTTAAAAGTTATCTGTTAGATATACATATTGAACTGTTATGAGTCAAATGTGCTTTACTTTAGAATATTTCAGCAAAGGGAAAAATGAAAATGGTGGGGGAAATAAATGAAAGAGTGATACCGATTGTCAAAGCTGGATGATGGGTACTCAGGGATCGAGTTTGCTATTACTTCTCTCCTTCTATGGATGAAGATTTCTATAATTTGATATTAGCAGACAGATACACATATATACTCGCGCCAACATCAGGTAGGGAGAGTGGCTGGTGGAAGTTGGTCCCCAGTCTAAACTGTGCCCACTGCAGGGTTTCAGCCCCGCATGGTGAGGACAGCATAGGTGGGGAGGGGTGGTAAGGCCTGAGCAGTCTTCCAGGAGACAGGAAGGTAACCCTAAAGGAAGAGAAAGTTAAGCAAACGAGGTTGACCCTGTCACAAAGCCCTAACCTTTGAAGGGGTGACTATAATGTGCTTATCACCATTTGGACTTGTCTCTTGCTCAGCCCTCTGTGGATTCATATCTGGGTCTCATGGGGCAGGGCAGAGAATAAGTGAAAATGGAAAGAGCTATTTCATCAATCTCTAAGACGCCGAGGCACAAGTTTTGTAGCTAAGCGACCCAGCAAACAGAAAGCAACACAGAGGCCGGGGGCAGCCACCTCTCTTCCCCACAGACTGGCATCCGCCTCTGAGGCTCCGGCTCTCCGGACATTAGGGGCTGTGGCACTGCCTCTGCTCCCTTGCACCACCTTGGGCCGCAGAGTGGCACTCAGCCAGTGATAGGGGGCCCAGCGGGGCTCAGCTGCGGGCTTCTGACCGCACAGCACAAGAGAAAAGGGAAAGTAAACCTCAACTCCTTGTCGATTTCTGAGAGGGTCTCACATGAGGAAGTCAGAAAGGAAAGATGGGACAGAGGTTGGTCACTAAAGCCGGAAGGACAGTTGTTTCCACCATGCCCTGCCCCAGGAAGTGATGGGGAGCACACACCAAATGTATCAGGTCAGCCCAGGAGGGCCCGGGAAACCCCAAAGGCCTAGGCAAGAGCACCACCAGGGGAAACAGGTACAACGTCTCTTAGGCTTTCTTGGATGTATGAATGGATGAGACTTGGAAGACGAATGGAATGACCAGGAGCACCCCTGCAGCATCAGCATTAGCTGTCACTGCAACTTGTCACCTGAAGGAGACTCAGTGGAGAGTCTGGCTTTCAGCCTGCTAGGACCAGCAGTTTGCCTCCTAGGCTCTCCAGTATGTTGATTTAGGATCTTTAAAATGAAAAAAAAGAAAAAAAGAATAGAACTATTATGTAAATAACAAAACATAAACCAGAAAATAACTAAACAAAGATCATTACGCAGAAGTCAAGGGGGATTCAGGAAGCTGGTTCTTCTTTAGATAAACTATGATGTGAGCTGGAAAAATGCGGATAGTTCTGAGCTGTCAGGTCTTGTGGGCCTGTTTCTAGTACACCTGCCCACACGAATTGCCTGAACAGCTGGAGAGAGAGAGAGAGAGACAGGGGAGAGGGCAGAGCCTGAGGGAGCAGGAATGGCACCCCCTTGGGATTGCAGATAAGACCTGCCTGACCCATGAGAAGGGAGTAGAAAGGGCTGAGAGACCATCATGGGCTCCAAGGTCAGAAGGCCATGGAAAGAGCTCTTCATGGGAGAGTTTGGGCCCCATACACCAGGTAGCTCCACTCACCACTCAGGGGGGACGTGCTGTTCTCCAGGGCTTGGCACATGGTCAACACGATGCCTGTGGTGGGGAGAAGAGAGAAAAGAATCTGCTCAGCAATCAATATCACAGAGGGTTCCAGGCCAGGTCCTTTGAAAGTCAAAGGCTTGGTAGTTTCACAAAGTGGTCAACAGAGAGGCCCAGTTATATCACCTGTGAGGCTCAGTGCAGAGAGAAAACCGGGGATCCCTTGTTTCAAAAGCTGCAAAACCATGCCCATTAAAGGTTCTAAATGATAAAGTTTCTTCCTTCCTTCCACACTGGCTCTCTCATCTGTCATAGTGGGTTTTCTTGGTTTTGTTTTTTTTAACACCTTACAAACATATTCTTCATAGCAAGAAAATGTACTTAACAAACTTACCATTTTTGTCATTTTATGTGTACATTTCAGTGATATTAGGTACATTCACATTCTTGTGCATATCGTCATTTCTTTATTTAGTCATTTACTATTTGTGTCATTGCTTTTCTGTGGGCCCGGGGATACTTTGCAGAGTAAGTACAGCCCCTCATAAGTGCATGGGGACCCCAATGTGAAAGTGAGCAAGGGACCCATTAACTCTGGAGTTTTCCCACCAATGAGCAGCTGGACCAATATACTGTGACCTAGCAGGGGTGGGGAAATCTAGTCTTCTTCCCAGGGCTTGGCTGCCTCCACCCAAGATGGGTGATCCCAAGGGTATTCCACCCTCCAGGATGCATGAGGTACCTAGATCAGTTGCCCATAGAACATGCCATCAAGCTGCCAGCTGCCACCATGCCCTGCCCCAGAAAGTGATAGGGAGCACACACCTAACCCCAGCCTTTCTTGTGTCCAGACCCCATCACAGGCAGACCATGGCAGGGGCAGGAATCCACTCAGGGGAGGCAGGAAGACAGCAGTAGGCAGGATCATGGGAACTAAGTCTCCAACTCCCCAAACCCTTGCTGCATATTGCACGGCCTCACCAAACTTCACTTACAAGACACAGATTCAAAGACAAAACTCTAAGAATTCCAAGACTGCAACTGTGCAGTATTAACCCCTCAGCTTAGGGCCCTTGTGAGCATGGGTTCTGTGTGATTACGTAGGTAGCGTGGCCATGCCCTGCCACCAGATGACCTTTGATGACCTCACATTACAGTAACAAAGTTTCTGGAAACAGAGTAGCAAACTTCCGATGAAAAAGGAACTTCTTATGAGTTATGCAATCAGCATGAACTAAACTAGAATGACTTCCCAAAACTGAAACACAAAAGGATGCCACGGTGGCCATGTGAAGGGGCTGGGCCTCCTACAGGTTAGCCTTGACAGCAGGTGAATCCAGTGTGCACAGAAAACAAGCAAAGCTCTACCTGTTACAGGATGGATGCAACTCCCCACTTTCCACACTGTGGAAGCTCCCTGTCCTATACCTTGCAGGGGTGTCCAACTTGGAGCCCAAAGCCTGCATGCAGATTATTTGAGGATTGTTTTTGCTAATCTGTGGTATCAGATATTGTGAAAAGTACGTGCAAACCTATTTTTTTGCTCATCAGCTTTCATTAGTGCTTGTGTATTTAATGTTGGCTCAAGACAACTCTTATTCTTCCAATGTGCAGCTGAGAAGAAAAATGACTGGACACCCCTATGAATGTAGACATAGAAGTCTTGACTCTCAAAGAAAAACCACGCTTGGAACAGATAAAGCAATCATCATATTTACAACTTTCCTTTTGGCCTTTGAAATGAGAAACATCATAAGAATTTCTGACTGCATTCACTGGTTAGCGTGGACTTCCCTAAGACCTCATGAAGTCCTGAACCAGAGATTTGGTTAAGATATTTGGTTCCAGAGTTGGAGGTGGCGGGGGGGAGGGGGATGGGGAGAAAAAATTAGTAAAATCACACATGTCTTGCCTGTGCGATTCTTTCTTGCTGTCCAATAGATGCTAATTTTAGAAACAAGGCTCTTAGGATTCCTTCAGGCACTTAAAAGGGTATCTCTGTAATCCACACACCAAGCATTAAAGTGAGGCATTCCTACCCAAGCCAGGAAAATTCTTAGTGGTTGCATACTCCATGCTAGGGAACTGTCACGTTCTGACCTTGCTGGCACCACCGCAAACCACTCTGGGTTAAAGCCAGTCAGTGACCCATAACGTCAAAGGACGACACTGGGCATGCTTTGCATACCTCTCAAAGGGAAGCATGACTGGCCTGTCACGAATTGTCCCTGAACTAATGAATTTTCCTCACACCTTGTTCCCTGCTCCACATCCTGTCAGTCCTGGTGAACAGTCAGCACAGTTCCTGGGCTCCATGTGAACCTCGCTTCAGCAAAACCTAGACCAGAAAGCTGAGGGTCTAGGAACACCAGGAAGATGAGGGTGTGTGACGGGCGCCTGCTCTCCCAGCCTGGGGCAAGTCACTTCACCCCCTCTGCTCCTCACCTGTGAGCCAGCAGCTGCCAAATTCACAAAGATGTTTTGGGAATAAATTAAAGTTTGCAAAACCACCATGCTCCACAGATGAAAGATGCTGGGTTTTTATTTATAGTTTAAGCCACAGGAGAAGGATACTCCCTTTCTATACCTTCACATTCCCATGGAAAACAGCTCCTGGATGCCCCAGGCTTCCCTCTGTAGTCCTGCTTCATGTACGGCTTATGTGGAGGCCCTGAGATGAGAGGCGAACCCTCTGCTCCCCAGGAGGGCCCTGGGCCAAGAAGACAGGAGTCAGGCCCTGACTCCCCAGGTGGGTGTGCACCACCGCTGGGCACACACTAGTTCCAGGCACAGCACTAGGGTTTTGCACATGTAGTCTTAGACAACCCTCCCGGTAACCCATGATGGAGGCACTTCCCAGTATCCCTGCCTTCTTGCCCAGCAGGTGGAAATGCCTGATTGTACAGCTGAGGAAACTGAGGCTGAGAGAGGTTAAGAAATTTGCCCAAGTTTCTGCAGCCAAATTCAAACTCAAACCTGTCCAACTCTCATGTCCAAGACAGTGCTCCATCACTATCCCACAAGACAGTCCTGGTCACTAAACCCTGATGGCCGTGTGTTCAGTTATAACCCCCAAATGAGTCCACATGGCACACTCAGCAGGCCCTGCAGGTGAAGCTTGATCCCTCTCTTCCGGAGGCCACATCCTTTGCCTCTTGGGATCTTTCCACTGCCTCCAATTTCCTCTCCATGAGCAAAGTTAGGGCAAAAGTATGTATGTCTAGGCTCACCAGCTACTCTGCCAGCAAAAGACCAGGGGCCCAGCCCTCTGGCTCCATGACTGTGCTTGGAAAGTTGGGTTTCTGGGAAGGCCTTCCAGAAACGTGTGGCTTTGGTTGGCTCATCAAAAACAAAGGAAATGGCTCAGCGCCTGTAGCTCAGTGGCGAGGGTGCCGGCCACATACTCGGGGTTGGCAGGTTTGAACTCAGCCCAGGCCTGCCAAACAACAATGACAACAACAACAACAAAATAGCGGGGTGTTGTGGTGGGTGTCTGTAGTCCCAGCTACTTAGGAGGCTGAGGCAAGAGAATCGCTTAAGCCCAAGAGTTGGAAGTTGCTGTGAGCTGTGATGTCACAGCACTCTACTGAGGGCTATAAAGTAAGACTGTGTCTCAAAAAAAAAAAAAAAAAGAAAGAAAGAAAGAAAAAGAAAAGAAACAAAGGAAAGACAGGGAGAGTATAGCCACATGGACCAGTGCTGTGGCACACACCGCAGTGCAGGGAGACATAGGGCAGTGGCTGAGGGGGTGGCCTGAGTTTCAAAGCTGGCCCTTGCCTACCATGGCCCTGGGGGTGAGGAGGGAGGAACCCCTGCCTCACAGGCTGCCCCTGCGCATCCTATTTCTGTTTCAATAGCTCCGAAGAGGGGAATCCCAAGGGTGGACTTCAAAAAGAAAAAATGAAAAGAAGGGAGTGGTGTCAGGGGAAAACCACCCATAACTGAAGAAAAACCTTATGGTTCCCCCACCCCCCAAATAGAGTGGGAACTCAGGGATGCCCTGAAGGACAAGGGTTGCCATATGTATAATCCTGCTTGGGGCTCAGACAAAAAGAGAGGCTAGCCTGTTTTTATCTCATGAGTTCCTGAAACCCATCCACCAAGGTGCCAGCGGGAAATAATGTTGAGAGAGTCTGGGCACCCATCTCCCCAGGGCGCCAGGGCAGGGCACCCCCACTCTAGCCTTTCACTTGACGAGGGATTAGCCATTCTGGATGGAGACCAGGCTGTGCCTTTAGGCTCGGACACCATCAGTCTGCAACCACCTGTCTGGGGACCACCTCTTCTGTGGATGCTCAGCTCTGGTTCGTGGACCTGAAGGAAGCATCTTCGGGTCCCTGGCCAGCCCAGCAGGGCAGACCATGTCCTGTTGTCGCCTCTGCAGCAGCCACTACTTTCCTTCAGGCTACTGGCTACTCCTCCGTGTTCGGGTGTTGCCTCCAGAGTATTAAGAGCTCTCCCTCTCCTCTCTTTGGGGAGCCCCTAAGCTGGGCTTCCTCAGTGATGAGGGTGAGGTTTTGTTGTCAAGGAGATGTGGAAAGGACAGAGAAAGGGTGTGGCAGGTCCCTTTGGCTGAAGGATGCTCTGTATTCAGAGGAGGTGGTGAGAAAGGCCTTTGGGTGAAGAACAAATTCAGGGTGGGAGCAGTGGGGCTTATGCTAGAGAGTGGGGCAAAAGGGAGCGTGGGCATTTTGGGGAGGCATCCCAATTTCCTCCTTCTCCTACTATGCTCAGAGCTGGGGGGGTCACAGGACAGGGCCCAGAACTTAGGAAATAGTGAGGGAGGCCCGGGGGTGGGCACCCCAAAGCTCAGTTCCAGGTCTGCAGGGACACTCATGTGGGTCACAGGGAAGCCAGGACTGGCCAGTTTAAGCTTGGGGCATCATCCTTTATGAATTACATCCTGGCATTTCAATTTTATCTCCAAACACGTCAGAATTTTAAGCCTAGCAAAAACTACCAAATTGAGTGATTTTACCAATATTTTTAAATCCAAGAGGTTGATAGCCAGGTGAAGATGCTGGCTTCAAGGAAAGAACTGCTTAAGAAGGGAG